CTAGAGGTTTATGTTACTGTCCTTTGGAGAGAATCCAGATTCAGACTTTGAGTTCCGTGGCTGTGGGCAAAAACCAACAAAGACCCAAATCCTCTGTCTTTGGGAGCTTGAGGACAGTTGACCAGTTCATGTTGCCATTGGGTCTGAGAATGTTGTCTTTAAAATTCATTCCTGGCCCCTGCCTACCGCTTCCTGGGGGATAGAGTTGAGGGGGCCACCTCAGTCACCTGAATTTGACTGTCCCCACAGAAACAACAGAAGAAACAAGTGGAACATCAGCTGGAAGAAGTAATGTGATTTCTTTGTTTGCTCACAACATGACTGCTGGGTTTGGGGGGCACTCAGATGTAGAGGCACCAGTCTAGTCTCGCCCACTCCCAGCCTGAGGAAGAAGGCACATCCCTCAGATTCCACCACATCTCCACAGGGTCCCTGATAACCTGGTCCCATGGGTGGCCCTGTGCTGGGGCATTGGTGGCATTCTGGCGGCATATCTCTTGCTGTGCCATCTCTGCCTCCCCATGGTAAGAGCTCTGTCTTCCTCTTCCTATAGGAAAAGAAAGCAAACAATGAAATACACAAAGCACAAACGGAGCAGTTAGAGGTGAGTGGAGGGTGGGGAGTTTTCTCCTGTCCTCCGGAGAATGTTTCTTTCCTTTCAGCACTTGCTTGGCTTTTCTCCCAAACATTCCATTTCAGACAATCAACATCCTCACGCTGGAAAAGGCAGACTTGAAGACCACCCTTTACCATACTAAACGTGCCGCCAGACACTTCGAAGGTGGGAATCTGGGCACCCCGTCATCTTTCAACCTGGCACTTTGACAGGTCTTTAGGGGGAGTCCTTTGGGCCCCATCTCCACCTCTGTCATTACAGAAGAGTCCAAGGATCTGGCCGGCCGCCTGCAATACTCTTTACAGCGTATTCAAGAATTGGGGCGGGCTCTCTCTGCTGGTTCTACACAGCAGCAGGAAGAGGACAGGGTGAGTCCAACCAACTGCCCCATCCCCTGGCAGCCTGGCTTCCCAGATGGAGGAGAGAGTGTAAAGGTCCCTTCTGGAGGCTGCAGTGTCCTGCCCAGAAGGCAGCATGCTCATTTCTAGCTGCTATTGTGTGTGGTTGTTAGAGACAGCCTGGGGCTGAGTCAGCTGCTATGGGTGAGTTGAGGGGCACTGTGGGGAGTGAGCGCTGCACACACAGCTTGAAGGCCAAGTGCCTGCCCTGCCCTTACCTGGCTGTGGCCTTGGCCAAATCCTAGGTGGGATATTGGGTACTTGTACTGTGAAGGTACAGAAGAGTACCTTTAGTACGTTACCATTTCTGTAGAGAGAGGAAAGGTGTGTGTGTGTGTGTGTCTGTGTCTGTGTGTGTGTACATACTATGATAATATACATGAAACATGTCTGCAAGGGTTTGCAAAAAATTCCACAGGGTGGCTGGGAGACACTTCCATGGTGTACCTTCTGAGTTTTGGACTATGCGAATGTATCATCCTTTCAAAAAGTGAACAAAAGATTAATTTCCCCTTCCTTTCTGTGCCCCCACGCCCAGCAACGAAAATGGGCTTAGAGAATCGGATAGACCTGGGTGTTCAAATCCCAGCTCTGTCTCAGTGATCTTAGGCAAGCACTTAACCTCGAACACTCCATGTTTTTCATCTACACAATAGAGGTAATCCTAGTAACTGTCTCATATGGTGGTTGTGAGGATTACATGGGATTGCTAGTATGGAACCTGGTGAAGCACTCCATAAAGGTTCAAACAGTGGTATTAATAACAGTAATAACAACAGCGATGTTATGTGATCTCTCTGGGCCTCTGTTAGCCAGCTGTAAGTTCGATCTCTTTCCCTGTCCCTTCCAACTTTACGGAGTTCTTTTAAAAACCAGGCCACGGGCTTGGAAATGCCTTGATCTTTACTGATCGAGTTGTACATTGAGCCTAGCCCTAGCCCTTTAAGGGGCACTGCCCGGGCTCCCCAGATCAAAACTTCTCACTCTTCACCATCCAGTCCTCAAGCCGCAGTGAAGCAGTCCTCCAGCGGCAGTTATGGCAGACCAGAAAGGAGCGGGCGCTGCTGAACGCACACGTGACACAGGTGAGGCTTTGCAGAGGGACAGATGTGGAGGGAAGATGATCCCAGCTGACCAGGAGCAGGTGAGGACCAGTGACAGCCCTTCCTCACTTCTGTGGCCATTCTTGCAGGTGACAGAGTCACTTAAACAAGTCCAGCCAGAGAGACATGAATATGCTCAACATATAAAAGGAGAGAGGGCCCGGTGGCAGGAGAGGATGCGGAAAATGTTGATGGAGGTGAGACCTGACCCTTCAGCCCCCATCTTAGATAGGTCACTGGATCTTTCTGGGCAACTGTAAAATGGGAAGAGTATAGCTAGAGGTGGTCATGGGACTGGGCTTTGTGGAGGTGGGGGCAGAGAGGGAGATGGTAGCCTGTCCAGCCACCAGCCCCTCTCTCCAGGGCCCTTTCCCCCTGTGCTTTGGGCAGGCTCACGCATTGAAGGAGGAGAAGAAGCGTGACATACATCGGATACAGGAGCTGGAGAGGAGCTTCTCCGAACTCAAACACCAGATAGGTAAGATGGGGCTGGTGTGACCTGGGAGCAGGACTGGCATCAGAGGGCTGTGGGGGTGGCTTAGAGTGCCCCAGGGAGGTGGGTGGATGGAAAGGCTTTGAGGCAGAGAGAAAGAGGTCTGTGCCAGCAGCTGGCAAGTCTTGTCATCTCCATGAGCCTCAGGGTCCCCGTCAGCTAAGATCGAGGAGTGCCCATTGTCAGCCACCCACAGTGCTCCCTAGCTGACATGGCTTGGAAATTGGCTACCATCGGGTGCGAGGAATCATTAGCAGTGAGGACAAGTTTGGGAAGCCTGAGAGGAGCTGCATCAAAAGGAGGGCTTTTTCTTTGAGGGGGCATGGTGGGTGGGGAATCCAGAGGCCCTTATTGTCTGCTTCATTTCTCAGCTGAGCCCCCGTCCCCGGTGGATCCAGCAGGGACATCTGAGGTGGAACAGCTACAAGATGAGGCCAAACATCTGAGGAAGGAGGTGGAAAGTCTGGAGGGAAAGCTCCAATTCCAGATGGAAAACAATCAGGCCTTGAGTCTCCTGAGCAAGGAACAAAAGGAGAGGCTCCAGGAGCAGGAGGAGAGGCTCCGAGAGCAGCAGGAGAGGCTTCAAAAGCAGGAGGAGAGGAGGTTGTGGGAGGAGGAGAGACTATGTGAGCAAAAGGAGAGGCTTCGGGAGAAGCAGAAGAGGCTGGGGGAGCAGGGTGAGAGGCTACGGAAGCAGGAGGAGAGGCTGCGAAAGGAGGAGGAGAGGCTACAAAAGCAGGAAGAGAGGCTGTGGGAGAAGGAGGAGAGGCTACGAAAACAGGAGAAGAGGCTGCAAATGCAGGAGGAGAGGCTCACGCTCTCCCAGAACCACAAGTTCAACAAGCAGCTGGCCGAGCCACAGTGCAGCTTTGAGGATCTGGTGGGTTGCCCCACCTGGGGAGCTTGCCCTCATCCCTCGCCCTCCAGGTCTTTGTTTCCCCACCTGTAAAATGAGGCAGTGTAGCCCTCACATGACATGGTACTTCTAAAGGCATCTGTGAGCCAGAGCTCATCAGGCCCTGCTCTGATGGCTGTAGGGGAGAGGGGATGATTTTTCTAACCTACTTCCACCCTTTCCGGTGACATGGGAGGCAGACACCAAGTTCTGGGGTCTCCAGCTGCAGTGGATGGCCACTGATTGCTTCTGTCTGTCCAGAACAACAAGAACAAAAGCGCACTGCAGTTGGAGCAGCAAGTAAAGGAGCTGCAGGAGAAGCTGAGCAAGGTGAGGGAGATGGTAACCTCTGCCCCATCCAAGAAGGGCTGGGAGGCAGGCACCAGCCTCTGGGGAGGGGAGGTGCCAGGCCAAAGGCAGCTCCAGCTGGGGGGCAGGTGACCTTAGCACCTTCCAGGGCAGCTCCATGACTGTTTCTTGCTTCCTACCCTCTGACTTTTAGAGGTGGGGTAGCCCTGGGCTCCTCCCAGGTCTGGACATCATCTTCCCAGCTAGAGGCATGGATTCCCCCAATCATAGGGGTGGAGACAGTGGTATAAGAGGGTCCTTATGCCAGGCACAGTGGCTCCTGCCTGTAATCCCAGCACTTTGGGATGCTGAGGCAGGAGAATCACTTGAAGTCAGGAGTTTGAGACCAGCCTGACCAACATGGCGAAACCTCATCTCTACTAAAATTATAACAACAAAAAATTAGCCCGGCATGGTGGCACATGCCTGTAATCCCAGCTACTCAGGAGACTGAGGCAGGAGAATCTCCTGAGCCTGGGAGGTGGAGGTTGCAGTGAGCTGAGATTGCACCACTGCACTCCAGTATGGGCCACATGGTGACACTGTCTCAAAACAAAAGGAAAAAGCCTCCTTAGATTCAAACTGGATTCCGGCCTCGGTTCCACTGGTCACCATTCAACTACTTTTCATCTCTAAGTCTCTGTTTCTTTAGCTTCAAAAGGAAGTTAGCATTTTTCTTATGGAGGTGCTGGGGATTAAATGAGAGAACACATGGAAAGCATTAGGCGTGTAGCACACTTAGCAGATGGTGGTTGGCTCCTTCTGCTTTTCCACCAGTCCGTGGTCTACAGTTTAAATGGTGGGAAGAAGGACAGGAGATTTGAGGCTGGGGAAGGAGGCATGGGGTTCTAGGCAAGAGGGGAAGTCTCTTAGGCCTGGAGCAAGAGGCCAGGGTCCCAGGCAGGTGACAGAGCCCCACCGTGCCCTCGCTACCCTATTAACGGGCCCAGAATCTGGAAGCCAACCACCACATGCCCTCATGCCCAGGGTCTTCCTGCAGATACAGCTGAAGAGCCAAGAGTCTCAGAGTCTGCAGCAGCAGCAGTGAGACTAGTACCGGGGTCACCTGCAACAGTACGTGGTCACCCATTAGCAGCTGACCTCTGAGAAGGAGGCGCCGCACAGGCAGTTACTGCTGCAGACCCAGCTCGTGGACCAGCTGCAGCAGCAGGAAGCTCAGGGCAAAGCGGCGGCTGAGATGGCCTGCCAAAAGTTGCAGGAGACCCAGGAGAGGGAGTCGCTGAGGACAGGGTCCCAAGGGGGACGACCTGGCAACCTCTGTGCCTTCTCAGTCTGTTTTCCATTCCCTTAGGAGTGCCTAGAAGCTGCCAGCCAGCAGAACCAACAGCTAGAGACCCAGTCGAGTCTCATGGCTCTCCCTGGACAAGGTACAGGAGACCACTCAGAGGAAGAGGAGAGGGCCCCAGGAGGAAGGGGGGACTGTTAGCAGCATAGGATTGAGGGGTTGGAAGAGACTTTTAGAACAGCTGGTTGTTATGCCAACCGGGTGTCTGCACTAAGTTCAGCATCAATATAATGACCTCCCGGGAGCAGGGGGCCACCAGGTTGCCTAAGGATGAGTGAACTGGCCCAGATCAGAAAGGGAGCAGGTCAGAACTCCCGCACCAACCGGTAGTGTGACTGTGCCTGGGCAATATAGAAGATCTTGGATCTTATAGGAAAAATAAAGAACAGCAGCTCATTCCCCTCTGGGGAGGGGCTGGCTCAGGGTTACACAGTGAGGGTGGGGACAGAGGTGGGCCCACAGTACTTCCCTTGTTGGGTTTTCTGAGGACCCCTCTGGCCACCTCCCCACAGGAGATGGAGGAGGACATCTAGACACTGAGGAGGAGGGGGTGCCTCGGCCTATGCCGAGCATCCCAGAGGACCTAGAGAGCCGGGAAGCCATGGTGAGTCTGACTTTCCCTGCCCCCGCTTTGCCACCTTCCTCTGTGGTCCCTCCCAGACCCCCTTATGCTGTTGCTTTCCCCGCCTTCTGATTTCTCTGGACCTTCACCCCTTCCGGGAGCCAGTGGTCAGCCACCACTTCACCTGTGACCAACAGGTGCACTCTCTGAGGCCCCAAGGGAAGGGGCTGTGCTCCACCTCCCTGCCCCATTTGTTTTGTGTATGCCCCTACAAGAATACTCACCTCTTGCCTTCAAGTGGCATTTTTCACCTCCGCTGGAGCCAGTGCCCAGGAGGAGCAGGCACAGCTATGTGGGCAGCGGAAGGTGTGAAGGCTGTGCTGCCTGCACCTGGCTCACCTGGTGGCCTCGGCCTGGAAGCAGCCAGAGGCAGAGGCCCCGGCCCCAGGGATTGGGGGTGAGTTTGTGTGTGGGGAGAGCTACCGGGCCCTGTAGGAAGCCACAGAGAAGGTGAAGGTGAGTGAGTCCTGGCATGGGCCAAGAAAAGTGGGGGCGGGGCAGGACAGGTCACTCCCGTGATGTGACCCTATTATTTTGGCTCCAGAGTGGCTTTATGGACCTCCCGAGGGAGAAGGTGGACGGGAAGCAGCAGGTGGTGAAACTAGAGCTTGGATTCATCCAGCTCTCTGGAGCGACAGATGGCATGAGTAAGCAGGAGGCTAGGGCACGGGCATGGGGAGCTGCAGGGCCTTCAGAGGGGCCCCAGTGTCTGAGCCGTGTCCTCTCACAGGAGAGCACATCACGGTATGTGAGATCCAGGGGGCAGGGCCAAACACGCAGCACAAGGAGAAGGAAGCCAGCAGGCTGGCCCAGAAGGAGGAGGAGATGAAGGTAGAGGGTGTGCAACATCTCTGCGGGGTTGGGGGTGAGGGTGGGTGCTGTCGCCGGCTCAGGCGTGGCAATTGAGCACCCCTCCCTTCAGGTGAAGCTGCTGGAGCTGCAAGATATGGTGTTGCCAGTTGTGGGCGACCACGAGGGGCATGACAAATTCCTCCCTGCTGCCCAGAACCCTCTTGATGAGCCCGCTCCAGGGGCCCCAGCCCCCCAGGAACTTGCAGCTGCAGAGGAGCAGAGTGGTGAGTAGAGCCCTCAGGCGGGTTGGGCAGGCGGCAGCAGGGGAGGCTCCCAGTGTACTCAGAGCCCCGCCTCCCTCTCTCCTAAGATTTTCAGGACAGCGTGGAGCCTGCACCGGGAGAGGCCAGGGAGGGTTCTCCCCATGACAACCCCACTGCACAGAAGATCCTGCAGCTGCTTCCTGTAACGCAGGACACCCAGGAGCACCTAGGCTTGGCCACCAAACCCTGCGTGCCATTCTTTTACCGGGCAGCCGAGAACAGAGAGATAAACATCATCATTATCTGAGAGCTGGTCAAGAAATTTAACAACAACAACAACAAAAAGTTATGGGGTTAATCCCCTACACAATTCATCTACTTCATTGGAATGTTAGAGCCCCTCATGTTTGTGTTTCTAATTTACAGTTTAAATTTCTTTCTGAAAAGTTAAAGGAGAGTGGGTCTTTCCCTGATGTTCACTCTGGCATCCGTCAGCATTTTTGTTTTTAATTGATAATTGTAGGTCATTAGCTCGCATATCAAGTTTGCCCTTACATGGTGGGAGTTCAAACACACAAAGACCCACTATTTGCACAAAACTATTCTTACTGGTTCGGAATAGGCTGCCCTGCTTTTTAAATGTTATTGCAGCGTGTATATTCATTACAGAATTCATATAAAATCTGCTTATGTTCTGCTATTATGTTTGATCGATTCCTAATCACAGTGAGCTCTTCATTAGCTCAATATGTGGTTTGCCCTCAAGTGCGCACTGTTGATTACTTTGTAATACGCCACTGTGAGTACCGACATTTAGAGTTGTTTAAAGGTCGAGAACTGGAAACAGCTTTTCCCCTATTTTCTGTGTATTGGGGATGGGAGTAGTAACATTTTGGGGAGCTTTTTAAATCTCACAGAAGAGGAAAGTGGCCTGCTCTGGCCGGTGTGTGCACGATAGAGTGTGTTTCATTTGTTCTGGTGCCAGGAATGAGCGCGGTACTATGGTAGTTCCCTTAGGATTTGTATGTGCTCTGGGCTCATGAAGATATTGCAGCATGAGCTGCAGCGGTTGGACTCTTTCTCAATGACCTAAAAAGGGATTCTTTCTGAGGAATGAAAGGCTCCCATCATTGACTGTGGATGCGGAAAACCTTTTCTAGCTTAGAGCATTTATATCTACAATACATTTTAAAGTCAGAGTTCATGTTACCTGTCTTAATCACATGACTACATGTCCCAGTACACAAAAGGGCACTGCTTGGCATTCTTCTTAGTGTATTTAGTGAAGATCATAAGAAATCCTTTCAGAGTTTAAATGTCCTTGGAACAGGCATACAGGCTCTAGTCAAGAATGAATTCGAGTGAAGGAAAGCTGTGTGATACCTGGCATTCCTCTATATTCACGGAGGTTCTTTGAGGCTAGAAGACTGATTTTACCATCTAGACCTCTCTGGCTAATACCTATTCTTCAGCCACATTGGTTAATCTGACATAGGAATTTACTTCTTTTCCTTGAATGGAAAACACATTAAAAATAATAACAACCATTTTAATAAACTAATACATGTGAGAGTATTCGTTGAAACAAAAAGCAGTTTTAGTGGACAGTGTTATACTACATTTGAGAATCAAGGAGAAGTTTATGCAACTTAAAATATTTACAAACTGCAATGCAATCTACTGTTTGTGAATGTCAAAGTATTATGAGTAAAAGTATCTATACAATCACAGAGTTATATTTCCTCACAAAGTTCTTTACGAAGAGTGAAATATGTTTTTGTACCTCTTGGTTTCAGTTAGAGGCATATTTTGTGCCATATTTATGTTATGTGCCTATACAGGATGAATGAATTATTTCAGTCATACGTTGCCTAAATCATAACTTCATGATGCTTGGGAAAGAATCAACAGTTAAAAATTCATGAAGTTCTAATGTGTGTGTTCCAAAATACGTCACAGTATTAGGATGTAGGGAGAGATGTATGTGCGCTCCCTAGGGTGCGCAATTCTAGTTAGTAGACCATCTCCATTTTTAGCATTTGGCATCCTCATGATACTTTTATAAATATGACATTAATAGGAGAGCAATAATATGATTTTACAGATGAAATAACAGATTTGCCTGCATTCACTGAAAGAGTACACATATTGGTCCTTCAACTGACTCTTCCAAATTGTATGAATTTATCAAGGTATTGGATAAACCCAGTTTCAGAATGATAAAGAAAAACTGTTAGACCAAATGGTGTGGCTAATTAACAGTGGTACAGTTTCTAAATACCGCTCTTTGTGTAGGGATTTTGTCCTATGTTTCAGAAAAAGCTAAAAAGAATGGAAATCCTATGACAATAACTTAAGTGTTTCTTCAAAGCATGCAGTCTTTGCAATACCTCATTCAGTCAAGTATTTGTTCTCTTCCTCATTCAATATGAGGCAGCTTTCAATTTGCTTAGAAGGCAACATTAGAAGGTTAGAGATCATCAGAAATATAAAATTTGAAAATGTGAGTTCAACTGAATGAATTTGAATTTCTGTTAGAAGAATCAAAGTACCTATTTAAAGATTGCAATATATGGTCATTATTTTTAAAGTTTTTGATTAAACCTGATAGGTTTTCCAGAAATGAAAAAAAAATCAGTTCTAAAACCAAAGCTGATATTTAGAAAATGTGAAAAGGTACATCAGCCCTATCCATAATATAGTTTCTCTAAAACTTTATCTTACAGAGTCACTTTAAAATAATATAACTATTCAAAAATATAACTGCTATCTTAATGTTTTGAAATAAGTTTAAGTATGTTAAAATGTGAATACTGTAGTTTAATAGAAAGAACCTGGGAGAAGGAAAAGTAGAGAAAGAAATGCCAATTCCAATGCCAAGCTTTATTTGCCGAGTTTTCTTAGAATGACTTTTACTAATTTGTGAATTTCTGTCAACAGAATGTATAATGGAAATACTGAAAGACTGTTGTCTAAAGTGCCATTATTGACTGCTACTGTGATGCTACTGTAATGCAATAAGTTAGGAAATTGTTGCAAAGTGCTGTTTTTGCCATAAAATTTTGTGTGTCTTGGAAACTATGGTGTTAAAGGTATTGAGACTGTGCAAATGCTGGGCACGCTTGGCATGAGATCATCGGATTTTATTTTTACAAAATTGTAACTATGCAAGTGTGTTTATTAGAAGAACACAAACCAAAGTTACGGGATAAAAAGGTTGTGGATGAAAAAGTTATAGGATAAACAATGTTGTGGAAAAGTTGTGGCAAAAAAAAGTGTTGTGAAAAAAAGTAGGATAACGTTTTTGACAAGTTTTTTAAAAAGTATTATGAAAAAGAAGTTATGGGATTAAAAAAAAGTCATAGGATAAAAATAAATAAAAGCAGGCCCCTGTCAGCATAAGCCTGGAGAAGCGGGGCTGGAGTCTTCACCCCCACCGTGTCCCTATCATCCCTTCCCAGTCACCCCTTTACCATTAGGGTAGCAAGACAAGATCCCTGTCTAATGTGGGGCAGACAACCAGACCCTTTGCCACCTTGACCAGGGCTGAGTCCTTACATTCCTGGACGGTGATGTTTGTTATTGAAGAGCCAGAGGCTGGTGGAGTTGGTTTGTTTGGAGGAGGCCTGGGATGGCCTCCCTACTCTCACCAAAGCAACTTTTCCCTCAGGGGAGCTCCCGTCTTCTTATTTGGAGAGGCAGCTGAGGCAGGACAGTGGGGCTAAGTGTAGAGCAGATGAGGGCACGGGCTGCTGGGGTGACCCCCCTTCCCCAGTGTACATATAGTATATGTGTAACATTTTGTATATTCCAGGGGTTAGGGCCACCCCCTGTATTGTACCTCATGAAGGTTGGAGCTGGCATATGGGGAGGAGGTTCTAGTCATTACTTATGGCTGGGAGACTTATTTATTGATAGCATAGGACAGAGGAAGGAGGTGGGGATGGGGTTGTGGCTCCTTGGTGATATGACTCCTGTTTGTTTTGCTTTTCATTTTGGAATAAATAGATTTAGCCATACTGCTCAGCCTGGTGGGTTCCCGTTTCCCTCACTGGGTCCTAGAGTTTGTGCCACTGAATGAGGAGCCCCAGAGTGTCTGAGCATGTCTAGCTCAGCTGTTGGGGACCTTCCAGGCCTGTTACCTGTATGCTGCCTGGTGACACCTGGTGGATTTCATTGGGACTGCCATGATGCCTATGGGGCACAGTGAGACCCTGACAGCCAACAGGCTCAGAAGCCTGATCTACTGGTGGCCAAGAAGGCAGATACCAGCATTCAAGGGCACTGACTTCCATCCACCCCAGGCATCTTCCATTTTTTCCCCCTGCCTCCCTCTCCTGTCTGCGCCTGGTGGCCTGTTCTGTCTGTCCCTCAGTGCACCTCATGGCCCTGCACCCTAGTGACCAGAGCAGGCTTCACAGCACAAGTGCCACCTGAGCTCCAGGGGCTTTCCAAGAAAAGTGTCCCTTGGAAAGGGTGTGGCCTTTTCACCACTCCCAACAGCACCCTAGAAACGGCTTGGCCTTTTCCCTCCCCTGAGCTCCACAGAGAACACAGCCAGCAGAGGACACATTCCCTGTCATCCAGAAATGGGTTTGATTCTCAGCTGAGGGACAACAGGACTGGTGGAGACTTTCAGTCCACACGGCTGCCTGCACAGCAGCCCCATGTTTGGTGGGGGCTGGGAGGGATGGCGGAGGCTGGCTGTCCACAGGCTGCGCATGACAGGGAGGCTCACTGGAGGTGGTGCAATTTGGAGGGGAATGTCAGGGGAGAGCTTTCTCTTGTTGGGCCACAAGATTCCACAGGGACAGCATGGTGACATTCCCAGCGCTAGAAGCGAGGCGGTCAGCCATGTGTAGGGGTGTGTGTGTGTGTGTGTGTGTGTGTGTGGTATGTATGTATTTATAGATATGTATAGAACAGGGTAGGGCATACCACAGAGTATTTATAGATATGTATAGAACAGGGCAGGGCATACCACAGAGTATTAATAGATATGTATAGAACAGGGCAGGGCATACCACAGAGTATTAATAGATATGTATAGAATAGGGCAGGGCATACCACAGAGTATTGATAGATATGTATAGAACAGGGCAGGGCATACCACAGAGTATTTATAGGTATTTATAGAACACGGCAGGGCATACCACAGAAGGGGCACAAGTTTTCAGCAACGGTCACACCTGGATGTGGCAGCTCACCACTACAACAGACTAAGTCACAGATGAAGGGGGCTGGCTTTGGGCTGGGGAGCCACTGTCAAGTCACAGGACACCCGCCCAGGCAGGCTTGGAAAGGGAGGCCTCAGAGAAGTGGACTATCTGTTTAGAGGTCAAAGTGGGGCCTGGGGCTCTCAGGACAGGATGGATTTGTCTGACCCAATCGGCTGGCAGTTGGAGAAAAAGCAGAGAGAAAATGGGAGAGAGAAAAGTGAGCAGAGAGCTGGTGAGGCAAGCGCAGAGCAGGGGTGTGCTGCAGCAGCTGTGGAAGGGCTGGGGAGGGGAGGACACAGGTGCAGGTGTGGCAAGATTCCTGGAAAAGAGGGGCTCGAAGGGAAAGGGGAGGAAGATGGAGGGAGGAGCCAGAGCTTCGAAGTTAGTGCCTGGGGACTGTGGTGGCCCTCCCCAGCCCACACACGCTGGCCTCTCCCATGACACCCAGGCAGTGCACCCACAATTCAGACCAATGCTCAGCCCCCTGGGGCTTCCCTCTTCTCTGGTCACCCTCTCTTCCAACCCACTGGCCCAGGGTCACCTCTAGCCTTGGCGAGCTCCACCCAACAGCCAACAGGCCTGATAGAGAAAGAACACTGCTTGACCCAGGATGGTGAACCTTAAAGGGATGAATGGCTGGAGTGAGTGCCATAGGCCCCTCTGGGTGGTCAGAAAGCCCAGAACCCTCTGAAAGGACCCTGGGGGAGGCAGGAAGGGCATATGCCACTGGCCATAGACTTATAAATCTAAGAGGGGAGCCTCAGCTGGTTGCAGGGTCTGCAGGTCACATAGGTGAGGCTGGGCCCTTCCTGCTGGGAAAAGCAGAAGAGGGAGAGTCTGTGACAGGGGAGGTGGGTGGGCTCACTAGGCGGAGTTCAGCTGGGCCAGCAGGTACTGTGGTCCCCTTGGTTGAACAGCACAGTTGACCGCTAGGAGCAACAGGCCAAAGTGCCTTAGCCCGCTGGCTGGCGGTACTGCTTCAGTGGGGGCCAGGGACCCTGCCTTCAGTCACATGCTAGCAGCTATGATGGTACCTGGGAGGAAGGGACGGGGCCTGTGTGTTCCTGCCTGGCCTGTGAGGTGTGTTGTGGGATGACCACGTGTATGGGACTCTCAAGATTTTATCCTAGATCACCACTGGATTGCCGAAAGATAGAGGAGGTGGGACCCTGACTATCACCGCTGCTCTGCAGTGGATTCGGCTCTCGGCACTCCCAGGCTGGGAGCTGGATGCCCTGCCCTGGCAGCATGACTCAGACTGCATGACAGGTATGGTGTGCCCAAGATGATGTTCCTAGGCCTCTGGCCACCTCACAGTCCAGCCCCACACAACTCCCTCCCAGCTCCCAGGCCCTACACCATAAGCCATGAGCTCTCTGTCCTCTCTGACGACTCCAGAGAGCACCCACACCTGCCAACTTGGGAATGGAGCCTGTTCCAGGAGCCCAAAGGCTCAGCCATGGAGGCGGGGGTCCTTTGGGGCTGTGGGGGCCAGCCCTGGTACCTGTATCCAGCTGGGATGCTCTGCACCTGCAGCCAGGAGTCATCCATGGGCCCCCGTGGGCATGTTGTTGGTGGTTGTGTTGACGTCGCTGATGATGCTGGGCACCTCCCTCAGCACGTGGTGCATGCACAGCATCTCGTTGCACCGCTGTGCCTGCTCTGCCGACTCCTCCATCAGCATGTTCTTGTCTCCACGTGAGTGCAGGTTGGCCAGCAGATCCAAGAAGATGAACATCCTTGATCTTAGACTGGGCAAAGAGGGAAGGAGGTTGGGACCTGATGTCTGTGTCACCCCGGCCACCCGGCCAGTCCCTACTGGGACTGTGTGCACTGGACTTGGAGCTCCAAGTGTGGCTTTTCATATGCAGCTTCTACACCACTTACACTCGAAGACCCACCTCCACACTGCCTTTTTTCACTCAGATGGGGACACTGAGGCCAAGAAGAAAAGTCACCTGTCCAAGGTCACAGATCTGGGAGGGGATTCAGGACCTATCATGACACCAGGACACCTGTATACTCAGTTTTTTATTTTTGGAGATAGGATCTCGCTCTGTCACCAGGCTGGAGTACAGTGGGCGAGATCACTGCTCACTGCAGCCTCAACCTCCTGGGCTCAAAGTGATCCTCCAATGTTAGCCTGTTGAGTAGCTAGGACTACAAGCACATGCCACCACCAGGCTCAGCTATTTTTTAAATGTTTTTGTAGAGACCAGGTCTCACTATGTTGCCCAGGCTGGTCTCAAACTCTGGGGCTCAAGTGATCCTTCTGCCTTGGCCTCCCAAAGTGCTGGGATTACAGGCATGGGCCACTGTGCCCAGTCCCACGTTATAGTTCTATGGGACAGCTCTGGTCTTGACCATGCCCCTCTCCCTGGACCTGGTCCCATAGGGCTGGTTGGCTTCTCTGCCAGGCCAACATGGCCACCTGCATCCCCAGTGCCACAGGAGCCCCCTGCCCCCATGAGGTGGTGCATGCACGTTGTTGATCCTGAGGTGCATGGTGGTCTTGGGCATGAGACCAAACATGAGGTCCCACACGGTCTTGTTGACAATGGCCACATAGGAGTCCACCAGGCTCTGGGTGGTCTCCATTTGCTGCTCCAGCTGTGGGTCCATGGAGTGCATGAAGCTGTCAGTGCCATTCTCCTCGGCCTTGCTGGCCTGCCATGGAGAACACAAGGGCATCATGGTGGCCACGTCATGCAGCCAGGCTCCGGGCATCCCCAGGATCTCAGCCCCTCCAAGGGTACCTGGAACATTGAGGCACAGGGAGAAGCAACTGGCCAGAACACACACCCAGCTCCCCACACACTCTAAACGGTTTCACGTCTCTGCCTCTCAGGACCCCAGGCCCGCTTCTATTCAGCCTTGTCTTAGTTCTGACTCTAGTACCCAGAATTTGCCTCCATTTCCCAATCCAGAAATTAGAAAAGAACATCTCCAGGTCCCTTGCTTGAAGACCTGGCCAGAGCTGGTGCCAGGCTGCAGACACCTGGCAGGAGGTGAGAAGGGCATACTCACTTTCCCCTTGTCCTGGGAGGCCCACGCACCAACATTGTCACCACCGCTGCCACCTGGGAGCACAGCCAAAGTAGACACACTCACAGGAAAAGGGGAAGGGTTGAGTGAACCTGGGACACTGCACCCCAACTCTAATGTGTTGATGAATTCAATTTGCTAATATTTTGTGGAGGATTTTTGCATCAATATTCATCAGTGATATTGGCCTGTAGTTCTCTGTTTTGGATGTATCTTTGGTTTTGGTATCAGGGTAATGCTGGCCTTGTAGAATGAGTTTGGAAGAGTTGGGCAAGGTCTCTAGTTTTGGAATAGTTTGGGTAAGCTTGGTAGGAGTTCTTCTTCAAATGTTTGGTAGAATTCAGCAGTGAAGCATCAGGTCCCAGACTTTTCTTTGCTGGGAGACTTTTTATTACTCATCGACCTCATTATTTCTTATTGGTCTGTTCAAGTTTTGAATTTCATCATAGTTCAATCTTGGAAGGCTGGATGTGTCTAGAAATGTATCCATTTTTAGTAGGTTTTCCTATTTCTTTGCATACAGTTGCTTATAATAGCCGCTAGTGTTCCTGTGAATTTTTGGGGTATCAGTTGTAATGTTTCCTTTGTCCTCTTTGATTTTATTCATTTGGGTCTTCTTTTTGTCTTAGTCTTAGTTAGGCTAAAAGTTTGTCAATGTTGTTTATCTTTTCCAAAAACCAACTTTTCATTTCATTGATGCTTTTGTTTGTTTTCTTCATTTCAATTCCATTTATTTCTTCTCTGATCTTTATTATTTCTCTTCTTCTACTAATTTTGGGTTTGCTTTGCTCTTGCTTTTCTATTTCTTTAAGATGCATTGTTAGTTTGCTTATTTGATGCTTTTCTACTTTTTAAAAGTAGGTGTTTATAGCCATAAAGTTCCTCTTAGTACTGCTTTTGTCGTATGCCATAGGTTCTGGTATGTTGTGTTTCCATTATAATTTAAGAAATGTTTCAACTTCCTTCTTAATTTCTTCACTGACCCACTGGTCATTCCAGAGCATATTATTTGATCTCCATGTGTTTGTATAGTTTCCAACATTTCTCTTGTTACTAACTTCTAGTTTTATTCCACTGTGATCAGAGAAGATGTTTGACATTA